CTACCGGTAGACTGCAGCGAGAACTGCCAGCCAGACTCTGTCTGTCTCTCTCATCATGGTCACCTAAATGCACAGTAATGGCAGGTTTTGTAATAAGGCAGATCGCGCTAACATAATATGCACTGTTAGTTGATTATTTACCTGCCGCATTAACGGGAGAGGACGTGCAAACGTTACCGCTGCTGCTGGGTTGAGATTCACGAGTCCGGAGCGGAATTAAAAACACGACATTCATTTAAGGTTATCGTGTGTTTTGTGAGCAAATGCTTTTGCATATTCGTAGTGTTTCCTCCCTTAAATGAAATATCTACTTTGCAAGTATTGCAAGTTGCCCTGTTGTCATCCGTTCTCGTAAAGTATAACCAAACTTTTGAGCGTTTGAGCCGCCATGTTTCCTGCCAGGTAAATGACGCTCCGCAACGTGGTGACGTCATTCGGGGCGACTGGAATCGATAAGGGAATCGTTTGCAAAAATGGCAAACAATTCCAAGGAATTGAAACAGTGGGAACCGGTTCTCAACAAGAACCGGTTTTCGATACCCATCCCTAGCCATCAGCCTGCAGTGAAGTCATATGAAACTTACAAAGTCTCTCCATGTGCTGCATTCAGGAACAACAGTGAACAGTCTCAATAGATGGCTGCTCTCCAGAGTTTAGAAACAGTTTGGATCACTTTGAATGACAGCGATTAAAAGGAGGTTTTTGTATCAGTACTAAGCTATGTTGATTTTAACGCTGAGGTATTTTTCAGGGAACTTTACTGATAATTAGGAATTTGGAGAAAGACACAAAGTCACTTCATTATTTAAAAAAAGCTGAATCTGCTCAGTGAAAAACACATACTTGTCCTTACTTGTCCTGTTTTAAGTGGAGTCCCGCCTCCTTCTAGTAAGCAGCTCACCTGTGTTTCTGTGTTTAGTGTCCGGATGTGGAGTGGAGCTTGTTGTTGGTATTTGTGTTTGAAGAAACTGTAAGTTTGCTTTGTTTCCTACTTTTAGAATTTGTCTTTAGGAACTTTAGGAGGAGAATGTGAATTGAGACATTTGTATTTACATAACATACAATAAATCAGATGTTTGATTTGAATTGGACTGTAAATCAAACAAACTCCTGGGCTTGTGATAGTGTTTTCAGCTCTGTTAAATAACATGTTGTTACTGCTTCACAAAGATCAGGTGTGCTTCAAATTGAAACTCTACTGCATAGAGTTACTAGTTTTTCTAGTTTAAACTTCCACTGAAAAGCGTTTCCTTCACTTAAAACACCACACATCACTTGAGGCAGCTTTGTTTCTCATGAATATATTAAAGGACAGAGGACAGAGCTTTTTGTGTTCTACTTGTGTTCTAGTTCCTCTCAATAAGCAGCTCACTTTGTGTTCTCAGTCCTTCTGTATCTAATATCTGCACATAACTCTTGAAGATTGACAGTTTTGCTTTGCTGTTTTAAATCCCTGGACCAGAAGCTTAGCTCTGAGATACAGAAGGAGATCATGTCTATCTTAAAGGTTAAATCAGATTTAACACAAGTCTGATATTTAAGTTTGTTCTCCATAGAAGACAGAGGATAGAAAGGATTTATTTGAACTTTGAATCATATAAGGTTATTCCTGCAGACCACGAATAAAAATCAGTTTTTAACATTTAAATGTCACAGTATATCTGAGTGAAAAATAAGTCAAGATTTGTTTCTTTAGCATGTCTATAACAACCTCAGTTGAGCAAAGATATCCTGCTTAACTAGAGCTGGCAGCCAGTGAGCAGATTTTTAGAGCCCAGATCTAAAAATGTGTAAGAGCAGTTGGTTCATAGACCCCTTGGCCTGAGGAACAGAATATAACAACACACTACTTAATCTAGTGAGTAACTAAGTAATGTACTGCATTATTTTTAAGAAAAGCAAGAAGTTCTGTGTAATAGAGTAATGATTTTCTTGAATAACAACCCCAACAGTGCACATCACTGTGTGAACTTTACTCTCACTCAGTCTGAGCAGTTAGACAACATTTTTTTGGAGTGAACACATAAAGGTGTGGCTCACAGACACACAGAGTTAAATCCAGTCTGAAGCAAGACTCAAAGATCAGTTTGTACACAGACAGTAAAAAACTGCATTTACAGTCTGTCAAAAAGTGAGCACATCCCTCATATGTTTGTGAATATTTTGTTATATCTTTTCATGGGACAACATTGAAGATATGATCCTTTAATACAATGTAAAGTACCCAATGTACACCTTGTATAATGGTGTAAATTTGTTGTCCCCCTCAAAATAACTCAGCATACAGCCATTAATGTTTAAACTGTTGGCAAAAAAAGTGAGTACACTCGTGTGATTTCAGGATTCATGTATGGCATGTGTCAGCTCCATGGCAGTAAACACAGGACTGATCTGTTAATCATTTGAAACCAGAGTGATATTGCTGCCTCCGTCAGTCTGTGGAGAAGGCGGAGAGGAGCCGCTGCTCACTGACACACTAACTGCAGTTTGAGCTCGGCCGCTGTTCCACAGTAACTGCAGTTAGGTGGACACATCTTTTTGACCATAACCAGTTATAGTGTGAACAGCGGTTGGAGGTCGGGGGTCTTTATAATTACAGTGCAAGTGGATGTTTAGATGCAGTAGAGAACTGAATTAAATCTGTTGGCTTCTGTCTGTTTAAAAATCCTTTGTTACAAATAGTGGACCTGCTTCAATAGAAAGTAATTATAACAATGGATTTATATAGCGCTTTACAATGTCACTATTCATTCACTCTCACATTCACACACTGGTGGAGGCAAGCTACGGTTGTAGCCACAGCTGCCCTGGGGCAGACTGACAGAAGCGAGGCTGCCATATCGCGCCATCGGCCCCTCTGGCCAACACCAGTAGGCGGTAGGGTAAAGTGTCTTGCCCAAGGACACCAACGACCAGGACAGAGAGCCCGGGGCTCGAACTGGCGACCTTCCGGTTACAGATGAGGAAGTACTGGAGAAAGAGCTCTAACTCTTAAACTCTTACTCTTCTCCTCCAATTGAAGTTAAAGCTACACAGTAAGAAAAAAACAAAACAACAACAACAAAAAAAACCTCCTCTTGTTGTGAAAATCTGCCTCCACCTGTCTCCTTTCGTTTTCTGTCCACATTAACACACTTAAAGAGACAGACTCACTTATTTTTCTTATTTACAGTGAATCAGTGTGTGTCAGTGAATGCTTCGTGTGTGCTTTGTCTCCATCTAGTGGACTGATAGTAGAAGTAGAGCAGCTAATGGCTTCCTCTGCCTCACACTGCTGTCTGACTGCATTCAGCAGACACTGAGATGAAGCAGAAAAGAAACACCTGATATTTGGACAGCACACATGATGGAAAGGAGGATTTCAGTTGATGTGCACATGAATGATTTGTGTTTCCTCTGCAGGTGAAGGTAGAAAGTGTGTGTGAGCTGATGTGGATGTGAATTCAGCAGCATGGATCGGTGTGAGGACAGAGAGGAGGGAGTCCCTCCCTCTAAACCCACTCTGTTTGGGGAAAATGAGAGCCAGACCAAAGCTCAGAGGTGAGATGACCATCTCTAACTGTCCATAACTCTTCTCCAACTCACAGCTCAGCACTCACATCACTGCTCCATCATTATTTCCTTCGGGATGAATAAAGTATGATCAATCAATCAATCAATCAATCAATCAATCAATCAATTATTCCCAGGAAAAGACGGAAACGTGGGAGAAAACATAAACATGGAAAAGAACCTGATGCCACCTGTGTGTCATTAAAGAGCGACCCCATTCATTTTAAAGCCCAGCAGTTGTCTGCTGCAGAGAGGTGAGCTGTTAGTAACATGAACTCTTTGAGACCTGACTTAATTGATTGATGTTGTTGGATATTAACTGCATTGCAAACAGGTCATTCCCTCAATCTCATTTAAACTGTCTCTTAAAAACAAGCCTTTGGTTTTAAACAACTGAAAACCCACGATCAGTAATTTTAAATTAAATGAGTTCCAGCAGAAGATGTATACATTTCTCAGTAATAACGGTTTTGAAATTAAAAGACAGTTGCTGCTCCATAGTTTATTAATTGATAGAGATCTAGAGTTTGATAGTTTGATAGAGAGAGAGAGATTATATACAGTGGGGAAAACAAGTATTTAGTCAGCCACCAGTTGTGCAAGTTCTCCCACTGAAAATGTTGAGAGAGCCCTGTAATTTTCATCACCTTAACTATGAGAGACAAAATCCTGAAAATCACATGGTCTGATTTTTAAAGAATTTATTTGCAAATTATGGTGGAAAATAAGTATTT